GGATTTGACGTAAGTTTCAGCCATATAGGTTAATTGAAGTGGTGTTACATATGTTTTAGAGAAGTAGTGGCAGTGATGATTTGCTAGGTACTGATACTAACACACCTATTCAGTGGAAGGGGAGGAAAGAGCTGGAAAGGACAGAGACATATTTATGCTAAAAGGCAATTCTGTATTTTTTTAGATTTGAGATTAAGATTTGTGATATTCTTTTGTGAACATTCTGCGCCAGTTATTTTGAACTAGTAAAACATATAGCATGAACCATCTCATTATTGAGACATGTAAATCAGGTTATAAGTGTCCATGATGCAGGTTGTGATCACGAATTCTGCACACAATGTGCCTTATACCTCTGTTCTACAAATAACACCTCAAATGTTGCTCAAGGTCCAACAGGCTCAATTGCCTGTCCTCTTTGCCGGCATGGGATAGTATCATTTGTCAAGCTCCCAGGAACAAAAGCAACAGTTAAGGCAGTTGCAAGAACAAGTCTGTCCCTATCTTTCTGCACATGTTCTAGTGAGATACCAGAGTCAACTTCAATGACAACCCCGCTTTGCAAGCCTGAGGTCCATTGCACACGAATTTCTCCCTTTGGGTCTTCGTTACGCAGCATAAGCTGCCAGACTTTCCCATCAATGAAAATCCACTCCAGCCTTTGCATGGGAGCTCCAAGCACTAGTCCTTTAGTTCCCTGTTATGCTGACCGGAATCTGCGAAATCACTTGGCTATGTGCTCAAGATCGGGCTTAAGACGCTCAGCTTCTGAGGGCCGAAGGTCATGGTTTTCGGCTCTTAATCAATGTGTACCTACGGGCAGTGGGTGCTGAATTTTTTTCTAATATCCCATATCATGGATAATATTCTCCTTTATTTGTAATTGTAATATGTTGTTAATAATGATTCCTGGTTGTGTAAATCCCAAACATCTCTTAGCAGTATTATAAATTTCACGCAAATTTATTTATTTGGTTGTTTATTAAAAAGAGTTGGATATTTAACAAATTTAATATAAAAAAAATCGAAAAATATATATGCATGAAAATATTACAATTACATCCTTAATTTTTAATTTATTCTTGAATTCATCTAACTTTCTTTTCCATTAGCTTTAATCCCAGCACGAATTATATACATAAATTAAAAATTAATATTAATATTGGTTGCATGATGCATTAATTACTAAAATGGAAGTCAATGGATTTTAAAATAAAGGATTAAATGCATTGAAATCAAGTAGTAACACCTTTCGGATTTTAGTATATTAACAAAATTTTACTTAATTATTTTTATTATTTTCTTTAAATTATATATTAGCGGACAAATTAATGTTATTGACGGGATTTTATCCATAATTTATTTTCATATTTTGGGTGATTTTGAGTTATTTTTCTTCCAAACAAAAAGATTTAAGAAACATCGCATCACTTACTATATATATTATTATTTACTATATATATCTTTTGTAAAGATTGAATAAACGTGAAGAGTTGATTCCAGAGGTCAAAATTAATTGATTTAAATTAGGTATTTATACATAGGAATTAATACAAACCAATATATTTGTAAAATATATAACCACAAAGCAATTGATCACCATACAGAACATCGGACACAAACTTCTTGATCTGCAAAAAGTTCATTCTTGAAAATTTTGCACTTCATTCACGACCAAATCAAAACTAGAAACTCCTAAAAAAAATTACAGCCAGCAACTATAAGCAAAAATAGCAACTTATATATACAACATTACAACGAATACTTGATTTTTATTTCATGGAAAAGCTCAGGAGGAATAGATAGAAAGAGAAGAGATGGGAGGATTGATCAAGATAAAAATTAAAACATAAAATTAAAACAAAAAGAGAAACACTTAAAATCCTAATACAAGAACTAAAAAGCCTTGCAAGATCAAGAAACAAATAAAATTAAAAAAATAAAAATAAAAAGCTCAGTGAGGATAGCACCGTCAAAATCTTAATGTCTGCTCCATTTTACACTTGTGATGAAACCCTAGGCATAAACGGAAGTTTGGCTCCATTGAAAGTAATCTGATCTTGACCATCAGAGAGCGTAAGAAAGATTAGACAGAAGGAGTAAGGATTTGAGAAAATCATGCAAATTTTATGACGGAAGAGCAAGCAGTGCTGTGATATTAATAGGCAAGAAGAAGCGATGCTTGTTGAAAAAAGAGAGGAAATGGATGATAACCAGAAGGTGCTGAAATTCCAAAAATATGATTAGTTTCCAGCAAAGAGTCAAAAGAAAGCCTTATCAGATACGTGACCCAAAAACCAAAAAAAAAAAAAAAAGTCTATGGAAAGTGGAAAACTGTCTTTCTTCAATCTAATGCTCTTTTTTCCTTTGTACCCATTTTTTAGTTTAAAGTAAGAAAGAAGACTTTCTATTTTCTAGTCGTTTCCCTTCTCTCTTTCTTCCCGCATGAGGTGTCTACCATTATCAACAATAAAAACGGTGATTGATTTGAGAGGAGGTGAAACAAAGTACAGGGAATAGCAGTGCATGCAACGTGACTTAACCCTCACTATTAGCATCTGTCTCTGTCTCTGTCCTCTGTTTTCACATCTTTTGCCTTCTCAGTTACGTTATTTTAGAAGAATAAGGAGCGTGGGAAGTCGAATTTTCAAGGTTTTCTTTTGATAAAACAGAAAATAATGCTAGTAAGAAGAAAAAAAGCAGGGGGCCGATTGACCTTTTGTCCATGTGATGCAATCGATACGTCAAAAAGAAGAACGGTAACATGCAGCCTTGCTCTGTCATTTTCTCGCCGTTACGTCTTCTATACAAGTCTTCCAAAACCTTCCTTAATTCCAAATTTGTTTTTGAATAATCTGTCCACATTGACTGTAATTTCCAATAATTTCTCCGATAGTTTTTACCATCATTTAATTCAAAACCTTAGTACAAACACTAATGTTCTAGCCTGGGTGCTTTCCCACATGTATTTCTCTATTAACAATTCTTTGCATTTGCCATATGCATTTGAGTGTTTAATGAATTCATATGAGAACAGTTTTAGTAGTAATTAAAGAACCCTGGAATCAAAATAACCTTGAATGCTAATGACACTTTAAATTTCAGCCAACAGGCAGCCATCGATTTTATCCATCCAATTCCAATATGAAAACAAACAAAGCAAAACCAAGAGTACATGTTTGTTCGCACCATAGGCAGGGCAGTGTTTTGAGCGCTTCTCAAAGATAAGGTACACGAGTCTTGGAATGACTTATGAGCACACAAAAACCAATGTTAGATAGACTGGCAAAGAAGATCTTTTGGCGTTGATTTTTATTTGGTGATAAATACACATAAAACAGCTTGCGATTAGAGGATGATGACAGGCAGATTAGATAATAATTCTCCAGTTTCTTGCCATTGTATTTTCCATGGAACCCTCATGTTCATCATGAGTTAGAATAGGAACTAGGGTTTATTGGCCCGTCTTTGCTTCAAATCTTGGTGATAGGAAGGAGCCATTATTCCAGGGTAACATACTATACTGTAAGAAGGAAACTTCAGGCTCCACGCTCCTCCTAAACAAAGTGCCCTGCACTTCTTCTCAAAACAGATGGCGATGGAATTTTGAACACTCCAAGAGAAAAGAGAGTGGTCATTTTTTCTGCCATTTACTCTTTGTAATCATCACAAACTTTATGATGTGACAATACATGGTCAAGTTATCTCTCTCTCTCTCTCCATCTCTCATACTTGTTTTATATTGACGTTGTTCTTTTTTTCTCTTCTCCATCGAGTAAAATCGCCTACGTAAGAAAGCAAAGATTGAAAGCATAATACTAGTAGCTGCTAAGCTATCTACCCCATAAAAATGCTAGGCACACAGCTGCTGGGGCCTCGGGGTACCCCTCTCCTGCCCCCGCATGTGTGAGCGTTAGCTTTATTCCATCTTACAAATTAAAGCTCTCTGACCTTTCTCTGTTTCATAGTCTTGCCCTTTTCTCTCTCAATTTCAAGATTTGCACCGTCGTAAGGGGTAATACTTCAAGCATCTGTTGTTGTGGTCCGTGTAACCGCCTGCAGTATACAACTTTAATTTTTTTCCCCAGTGAGGGTGGGAGGGTAGGTGGGAGTGTTAACTCCTCATATTTATTGCCTATTTGCCCTGTTGGCTTTGCATGTTTTTCCCACGTTGAGGATTACCCGCACTATTCAGCATTGCTTTTTTTTTTTCATTATTGCCTTTCAAAGATAGAAACCAGTTTTTGCAGTAGGCTATATATATGATTACAGTGCCAAGTTATTTAAAACTGTAAAAAAAACCATTCCGCTGACTATATTATTCCAATGTGAGAGGAGAGAAAGCACTGACCAAGTATAGAGGAGCAGGCCAGCTGGCAGGTAAACACTGAAAAGAAAGAAGAGTTCACACAAAGGAGGCTCACGAACATGTTTGACACAAATGAAGAGGCATTGATGTGATCAGTGTTGCTGAACAATAATAGGCGTTTATGGCCCAAAAATATGTAATTTTGTATTTGCAGCAGGGAATTGTTACATAGTATGGTTTTATTTTTAGAGAGGACGATGACACTTTTGGTCAGATTCGGATGCCCCCCCCCCCCCCCGCCCAGGGCCACTAGCGCTGCAAGCTCCACCCTCTTTTTTGTTCGTAGATTTGGACTTTGGACACGTATTCTATAATTTTTGGGCAGGTTTGAAACTTTAAACAAAAGAAAGTTGGGCTTGAAAGTTGCCACCTTATGGACAGTACTAAAATGCTGGGTCGTGCTTGACTCCGCTCAACAGGGAGTGACTGAAACTGAAAAAAGGGTCATAGGTTCAGTATCAAGCCATGTGATATGCGAAGCCTTATAGGTTTGACCCATTTATGTCCTTGGAAATGGGTCATGATCTTAGGTCAGGGCCATCAGGCTGAGCTCAGCTTTAAACTTTAACTCGGAGCCCAATCCTGAGGATATCCTCAAAATTTCCAGATGAATTGGAAATGGTGGCGCCAACCATGCAAGGGACCAAGATTTTAAAAGAAAAAGAACCTGAGCGACTCCATCAAACCTTTGCCATAATCCATAAAATTTTTGTTCTTATATCTTATTATGTCACACCAAAGTTAGCAAAGGAAATCCAAAAAAAAAAAAAATGAAACTTTAAACCCGAAACTCATCTGGTTACCTCCGGCTTCTTTTATTTCTCTATTGTTTTTCCATTTCATTCTCTTCCTAGCACCAATCTTCTGTGGTTGTTAACACCGGTCACCATCAACAACAGTCCATTCCTATTGATAAGTCTTCGCTCATTGCTGCTGAAACGGCATCGGAGGACGAGCTTTGGGCAGCTGCTTGTCTCCGTGTTCGCTCCTTCTATGACTTCCAGGCCTCCTCCTATGGCATCCAAGTGAGACTTTCTTTCTTTCTTTCTTTCTTTTTCATAAAAAGGAAAAAAGAATTATTGGGTGTCTTTTGTTTTTCACTGGAGAGGCATACAAAAGGGTCAACGCAAGAAAGTGAATTGTTTAATTAATGATTTGATAGTAATTTGTTTTAGGGCATTTTAGAAGTTATGAAAGCTTTCAAGGATTGTAGATTTTGATGTTACTCAAAAGGGAGTTTCTTGTTATCTCGTTAATAGCAGAAAGATAGAGTTTTTTTATTGCGTCAATGCCATTTCAAATTTGTGATTAACAGAGGTCCTCCGGAATTGAAGCTGCTTAAGTTGTGATTAAAAAGGAAGACAAATGTTTCGTGAATGATTTTAATTTTTCTGTCTCTTCTCCTTTTAAGATGATGTTGATGGTATTTTGTCCGTTTCAAGTATTAGGATCATAAAAGATAGTTGGCGGAACGTGACTTTGAAGCACTGAAGGAAAGAATTGCTGGGAAGCAGGAGGGCTTTAAGGGACTTTCTTGCATTAATGCTACGCTTCCATTGCCACTGTTGTCAAGCCCTGCAAATGATTTATTTGCCGCATGTAAGGTTTGTTTGCCTTCTTTTTTTTTTGGATACTACTTACAATGCTTTAAATGTCATGTTGGCATATTAGTGCAATTATTTTGATCTGTTTTGGGCTTATAACAAGATGTAAGGAGTCATAGGTTCCTCTCAGGAGAATCTCTGTTATAATGATGTGTACTGCAAATTCGAGGCATGAGAAATGCCTTTAAACTCAATATATTATGTTAGGATATTTGATGTCTTTTTTGTCATTACTGGACAGCTACTAATAAAGACAATGTTTTAAATTTGTGTTTTTGGAACCAAATCAAATTGAACTCTAGGCATAATTCGCCAAAATATGATTTTTCAGAAAGAAAAAGAAAGTAGCAACATGGACAAAATACAAGAACCATGCAGAAAGGGATAGTTCTCATTTGCCAATATCCTACAGTTCAACTGGTGTCCCTGCAGATATGAAAGGGTTATGAGGGAAAAAAATGGAAGAGGATTATTACCTTGGCATTTAAATCTTTTAAATAAAAACAGATGAGTTCGGGATAATGTTGAATCTTCTGTAAACAGTAACTTGTCTCTTTAGCTAGTTCATATAATCCTAGTAGCTGAGATATTCCAAGTCACCATATTAGTGATCTTGCAGACATTGAGCAGATCTCCTTGTGGATATATTTGTGCTAGTTAATTTTCTTTTTTATAGCTTCATTTGTGTGTAATTCAATTCTCTGATGGTTTATGTCAGGAAAAAAAATTCTGTGTTTGAAATTATGATTTTGCAACAAAGAGGTGTTAGGCTCTTCTATGTTCTTTTATCAGTTTTAATTCCCTATTGTCAAAGTTCTGCCCCTTGTTTTTAATAAAATCTGAGCTGCAGAAGTTTTAGAGAAAGTAATGCCTTGTTGATTGTTGTTTGCATACTCTCTAACATTATTTTTTTCTCCTGTTTCTTATTTAGTTTACTTGCAATGGATAGGATAGAGTTGTAGTTGTAACCCTTGATCTTAACCAATGTCTTTGGCTTCCAGAAGAAATAGCTGGAACAAAACTAGAGGTATTTCATCATATATCAAGATTTTTCTGATGTTATTTGTGTGGTTATTTAGTCATCTATATAGTTTTTGGTGCTAAGGCTTCTTAATTATTCTTAAAAACAAGAACAACTTATTTATGATTTACGTGAGGCTGATGCAGCCTGTCTTGATACAGAACAAGAAAGTCTCTCAAAGAAGAAGTTTTGAGAAGAAGAACACAGAATTTTTTAGGAGAGAGAAAAAGATAATTCCATTCCATGATTTGCACCAGATTTGCACAATATCCATCATCGTTTTTTGTGTTGTCAGTTCTCTCCTCCGTCATAACAGTAATAACATAGTAAGAAAATGGGCTCTGTTAAATACAGGCCTTATAGGAATAAAAGAAGTTTAGTAAAAATAAGTCCAGTAATAATAGTAAATAAAACCAAAATATAAACCAACTGTAGTCCAATCATCTGAGCCTGCAACAATACCCTCTCCATCAAAAAGATCCTTAGTCCTCAAGGATCTAAGGCAGGATACTTCTGCTGCAACTCGAACAAGCTTTCCCAAGTGGCATTTTCTGGGAAGGAATTAGACCACTCCACCAGAACTTCCGTGATAGTCCTGTTACCCTTCTTGACCATTCTCCTATCTAGGATCTTGGTAGGTCTTTCACCATTGTTCGATCTTCTCCAACAATAGGCAAATTAGATTGGACCATGGAACTGCCAACATGTTTTTTCAACTGAGACATATGAAATGTAGGATGGATTTTGGAACCAACAGGTAATTGCAGTCTATAATCCACTTGACCTACCTTTTCCAAGATCTTGTAAGGTCCAAAGAATTTGGCAGCAAGCTTGTTGTAACTTCGATTCTTCACTATCTGCTGTCTATAAGGTTATAACTTGACATATACAAGATCTGCTGCTGTAAACTCCCTGTCACTCCTCTTTTTGTCAGCCATGTTTTTCATACTTGTATGTGCTTTGGATAAATAAAACTTCATCTGGCAGCTTCTCTAGCTTGTAAGCTTCTGTCCACCGTTTCCACCAAGGAATCTCCTGCCAGGTAAGGCAAATGCAATGGAGGGGGTTGTCCATAGACTGCCTCATAAGGAGAGGTGTTTATAGCAGAGTGATGGTTGGTATTATTCCACCATTCTGCTAATGGCAGCCACCTACATCGTAAGTATGTCTCTAAGCACCTATTAACTACCTCTGTCTGCCCATCCGTTTGTGGATGATGAGCTGTAGACATGTTGACAGAAGTTCTATGTATTTTGAATAACTCTTGCCAAAATCTGCTTATAAAAATTTTATCCCTATCTGAGACAGTGGAATTAGGCATGAATATATTGTCCATAAACGCTTGAGCTACTGACAAAGCAGTGGAGGGATGAGAAAGCGCCACCAAATGAGCATATTTGCTCAACCTGTCTACCACCACCAGTATAGTATCCTTGCCCTGTGATTTAGATAGACCTTCAATAAAATCCATAGGAATGTCATACCAAATTCGGTCAGGTATAGGAAGTGGTTGGAGAAGTTTTGGTGATGCTGAGTTATCATATTTGCACTGTTGACATACAATACATTGTTGAACGAACCTCCTTTCATCTTTTTTGAGACCTTTCCAGTACACAATACTGCCAATTCTATTCATAGTAACATGAACCCCTGAATGCCCACTAGTTGGACTGCTATGATAATACTGCAAAAGTTCATGTCTCAAAGCTGGTGCTAGTCCCACAACCAATTTGGCTTTTCTCCTCAATTGGCCTCCATTCCAAGTATATTGAGAGCTGGTGGATGCTTTAGATTGCAGTTCTCCAATCAACTTCTGCAATCTTGAATCCTGCTTCCAGGAATCCTGAATTTTATTCAATAAATTAGTGTTCATAGCAAAAAGTGCCATTAATTGAGTTGACTTAAACTCAGGTCTTCTTGATAAAGCATCAGCCACGGTATTAAATGTGCCTTTTCTATAAACCACTTCATAATCATACCCCATCATCTTTGCTATCCAGAGCTGCTGTGCCAGAGTTGTTGCTTGCTTAGTGAGTGGAAACCTTAAACTCTGATGATCTGTTTTGATAACAAAATGTTTACCAGATAAGTGTGCGTTTCACTTCTTAACTGCCATAATCACTGCCATCATTTCCTTCTCATACACAGAGAGAATCTGATGCTTAGTTGATAATGCTTTGCTGAAATATGCAATAGACCTTCCATCTTGAGTCAGTACAGCACCTACTCCCAAGCTAGAGGTATTGGTCTCAACCATGAACACCTTGCCGAAATCAAGAAGGGCTAAAACTGGAGCTGTGGTCATAGCAATCTGCAACTTTGTGAAAGATTCACTTGTTGATTCATCCCACTTGAAAGCATCCTTCGAAAGTAAATCTGTCAATGGTTTAGCTAGCAACCCGTACCCTTTAATAAACCTTCTGTAGTACCCTGTGAGTCCAAGGAATCCCCTCAATTCTTTGACATTTTGAGGTTGAGGCCAATTCAAGATACTCAGAACTTTTTCTTTGTTCATTTCAACTCCTTTGTCAGAAATAACATGCCCCAGATATTCAACTTCTGTAGCACTAAAGACACTTATTCTTTTCGAGGAATAATTTGTTAGTTCCCAGAATCTCAAAAATCATTCTCATATGTTCTAAACGGCTGCAAATATCAGTGGAATATATGAGAATGTCATCAAAGAATAATAATACAAATTTCCTCAAGTAAGATTTAAAAAGACAGTTCATAAGACTTTGAAAGGTTGATGGTGCATTTGTAAGGCCAAATGGCATAACTAGAAATTCATAATGGCCATCATGAGTTCTAAAGACAGTTTTGTAAATGTCACCTGATGCATTCTAATTTGATGATAACCAGACCTTAAATCAAGTTTAGAAAAAATTTTTGCACCATGCAACTCATGTAGTAACTCTTCCACCAGTGGAATAGGAAACTTGTCTTTAATAGTGAGCTGGTTAAATTGCCTATAATCAACACAAAGCCTCCATGATCCATTCTTTTTTACCATCACAATTGGAGAAGCAAAGGAGCTGTAACTGTGCCTGATGATCCCCGAATCCAGCGTCTCTTTGATCTTTTTGTCAATCTCATCTTTTTGTATGGCAAGCTATCTATAGGGTTTAATCCTAACTGGTTGACTCTCATCTTTAAAAGGGAATTTATGATCATGAGATCTGTAGCGAGGTAGTCCTCGAGGAGTCTCAAACAAATCAGCACATTCCTTTAACTCTTGCTCAAAAACAACACTATCAAAGGATTGGTTACCTGATATCTTAGTGATAACATTTAACTGAATTTGGTTGCTAGTAGCGAGTAATAAACAACAAGGATGAGCCTTCTGACCGATAGTCAATGGTTGCAGCCGCTTAATAGTCTTTTTTTCATTGGCTAAATCTAGCATACCAGGTTGTATACCCTGTAGTTTTGAAGTTGTCAGTGTTGACTAAATCGGAGTTTGTTTTGAAGTTGTATACCCTGTAGTTTTGAAGTTGTCAGGTTGTATACCGCTTAATAGTTTTGAAGTTGTCAGTGTTGACTAAATCGGAGTTAGGTTGTATACCCTGTAGTTTTGAAGTTGTCAGGTTGTATACCGCTTAATAGTTTTGAAGTTGTCAGTGTTGACTATAGTTTTGAAGTTGTCAGGTTGTATACCGCTTAATAGTTTTGAAGTTGTCAGTGTTGACTAAATCGGAGTTAGGTGGAGCTTCTGGAGTTGGCAACAAGAGAGGTGAGGTACTGTTTTTAGTAGAGACAATACTGGTAGAATGGTATGAAGATGGAAAAGATG